GAGTTAATGTTCACATGTAAACAGCAGTTCATGTAAAGAGATTGTCCAGTCAACTGATGGTAGCGGTGACTGTCCAGGCGACACACGTACTTAGGTATCATCACGAGTTAATGTTCACATGTAAACAGCAGCTCATGTAAAGAGATTGTCCAGTCAACTGATGGTAGCGGTGACTGTCCAGGCGACACACGTATTGTTATCTTTAATTTCTTGTCCATATAGACTATTCTTGTACCTAATATGTTCATAACATAAGACCTAATATTGTCCCCAAATAATTTTTATGATTGCGAAAAAAATAAGCTTCGAAAATTATAGTGTACAATGATAATTATTAAAGTAGTAATTAATAAAGAAAAACTAAATTTATTTTTAAGCACCTAAATACAATATTTATATGACATTAATAAAATTTATTAATTATTTCTTTGTCGTTTTTTTATTACATCATTATGACCATGCTATCACCACTGTCCACTGCCTTTCACAGTCATCCCCCGTAGACTACACATCGCGAGGTTGGAAGCGACCTTATCATCATCAAAAGCCTATAAATGCCCACTGCTGAGCAAAGCCTTTTCACACACGGAGAAGGTTTGAGCACTGATTACCACCCTTGCTCATTGCGGGTTAGCGATTACAAACTTATAATTAGAAATTATAGTTTCCTTACGATGTTTTGATTTTGTCTAGATAAGACACGACATGTTCACGCCATCGTGTGGGGCTGGCGATGTTTTCCTTCACCGTTTGTCAGTGGTATCTGAATCTATATCTATTCTATATTTCTTTTCTGTACATATAATAAAATAGTAGAAAGGTCAAAACTGTACATTGAGTATATTTTTTTAATAATATTTGGGGCGTGATCTACCTCTACAGTCGCTACTGAAGCTAAAAATATGGTTTTTACAATTTTAGTCTGTTTGTCTGTATGTATGTCCGGGATGATCTCAAATTTTCTACGATTACTAACTGGTCGGGTCAACAATCAACATATAGTGAAACCTGATTAAGTGAGACATCAAGGGACCTACAATGTCGTTTCACTTATAGAGGTATTCCACTTACCCAGTGTCTCAGATATACAGGTATAAATAGAGGTAAATAATATTTTGTCTCATTTACAGAGGGATCCATTAATAGGGGTGGACTTGGAATTACGTGTGAAATTTGTGGGTAGAATAAGAATGAGTAAACAAACAATGTTATCTCAGTTACAGAGGTTTATGCATATAAAATTTACTCGCTGTTTCAGTTATAGAGGTAACTATAATGATAAATTGGAAGAACAAATCCCAGATATAGAGGTTTACCTCGTCCCACTAACAGAGGTAATTCAGTGCCAAAGTGTTGGGACCTCAGCATGAGTTTCAGTTATGGAGGTTTCTCACTTATCCAGGTCCCACTTAACCAAGTTTCACTGTATAAGCTAGGTTAGTAACACGTTAATTTTAACATGTTAATTTTCACGCTATCACCTACGGGTTTTTTTAAGGGGGAAAATCATCGAATGACTGCTCCCGCCTTTAGTGTCAGACTCTTACTGACTAAAAACCACCCCGTTCCTTCTCCTACACGTCGAGCCGAAGCTCCGGTTACCCGTTAGGTTCTCTGCGACTTTAAATAATACTTGGGGCATGATCTGAATATAGTCGATACTGAAACCAGAAATATGGTTTTTAGAATTTTTGTCTGTTTGTCTGTATAATATACCGGGATGATCTCAAAAAGTACTGCATGGATTTACTTCACATTTTTGTATGATTATTTCTAACAGGTCGGGTCAACATATAGGCTACATATTATCACGCTCCTATCATCTCCTACGGGGTAAGCGCAGTAAATCACTAATCAACGCAAATGAAGTTGCGGGCACAGCTAGTAATCTTATAAAGCAGTAGGTAACTCGCAAAAAAGTCACATTGGTGCAGTAGCCAGCAGATTAGCCTTCTCTTGTCGGTGTTTATTCATTGTATTTTCGACTTTATGTCAATACAATTTTGAAGATGTAATAGAGACAATTTCCACAAACAGATAGGAACCTGCTGCCTGCTACTTCAATCTATACAAAACCAGTTTATCCTGGTGTGGCGTCGCATCATCTTTCCGCACATTTAACGTTCAGTTTATACTGGTTATATAAAGCTCGATGTGTAGCCGTGTGTAGGTACGTACAATGTAACACCCACTTTTCACTATTTATGTTATGAGTCCCATGTAATGGGGGGTGAGCCTATTGCCATATACCGAGCACATTTCCAGACTCCGTACTACTATTGTACAGTGGCATTAAGTGCCGTAATCTGCACCTCTGCCTACCTCTTCGGGGATGTTATGTTATTTATGTTAGGTATAAAAAACAGACTTCTTCTAAAATTAACTTTATTTTTTAGCAACAGATAAAGATTTCGGAGCGGGATATATTCCTCTAGGACCGTTATACCAGAAGTATCCTAAGTCATGTATCTCCGATTCATCCCAGTGGTATCTTTTAGGCATGAACTGTTGCAGCCTTCTTCGCTTCGGGCGCTGCGTCGCATTGTGTTTCTTTTCTAGTTTGTCAGTCCTTGAGTACATTTTGTTACCTTGTAGAATTATGTCATCCGTTGCGAATCTTTTTCTATTTTTATCATCTCCAGTTTCTCGCGACTCCGATGCCGTTTTCCTCCTCTTTTTACTGTGGTTCTTATATTTTTTCTTTTCTTTACTTACTTCTTTAGACGGTTCCTCTACTTCGCTGTTCGATTCTGAAGAGGGTTCTTCATTTTGGTTAAGTTTAGTTGTGTGCTGTTTCCTCCCTTTAGATTCTTCTACGCTTTTAGACTGTGATTCGTACAATTCCTCCTCTACTTCCCAGCTCTCACTGCTTGATGAAGAATTTTCTTTAACTTCCCCTGAACCGCTTTGTTCACCTGATCCGCTGTTCGCTTGGGATCCACTTGCTTCCCCTGACCCACTCTGTTCTTCAGATCCGCTCTGTTTTGAATCACTCTGTTCTCCACTCTCACTGTCTTCTCCTCGAGATTCTCTTTGACGTTCTATCGAACCTGATTCTGATTCTTCACTAGCAGAAGCAGAACCAGTTACAGCGGCATACTTCTTCTTATTAAATATAGGCAGAGGTCTCTTCTTATCATTGTCATCTTCTTCAGAATTTCTATCTGGGGTATCCATTTTAGGTTTCTTTTTCGATCTATTGTCTACGATCTGAAATCTTTTCGAATGTCCAACAGGCATACGTTTATTTTTCCATTCTAAGTCAGCCTTTTTGGAGATCTTACTGAATTTTCTGAAATCCTCATCACATTGGCCGTGTTTGTCACATTTGAAATGGATAGGTGGTTCGGAGAGTATCAGGAGATCTTTAACATAATCGCCATGATCATTTTTATTAGATTTCGTTCGAAGTAAGTCTTTTATATTAATGTGGTTATGGTGAACGTTTCTTTTCGCCATAGATCTTTCATTGTCTAAGTGTAATGTGTGTCGGCCATAGTGTACGACAGCTCTTTTGTTGCTTCTAGACCGTGTCGGACGACTGACAGTTGAACTGGTGTGGTGATTCGATTTCGAGAGGTAAGATTTAAGATTTTTTATGTACAATGATTTGTCGTGGTTGCCCTTGCGAAGGATGAGTACTTCGCCGTCAGTTAGGTGTGCTGGAAAACATAAATGAATATGTAATTTATTATTAGATAGAAGGTTCTTGGTTACTATATTGACTGGTGATGTTGTAACTACATTTGAGAGCAAAGAAACGGAGTCACTAGCGTTTCTTTTTTTTCTTTTCATAAAACACATAAGTATAAGCCGGTAAACGAGCAGACGGATCACCTGATGGTAAGCAATCGGCATCGCCCATGGACACCTGGAATACTATAGGCCTTACAAGTGCGTTACTGGCCTTTTAGGATTAGGAATTTGAGGATTTTTGGGGTCTCAGGTTTATCAATCGAAATATATCTACTGACAAAGACCTAAAGAGAAATAAAATCAATTCCACTCTTTAAAATAGGGGTTCGTTTGACAAATGACTTGAAAACTCTTAGAGAGTAGCCGTTTTTGAGGGGGGAGACCATATTTTTCTTTGATGTCAGGGGGACACCTTCATAAGGCGGCTAGCTGTTTGGGCAGAAAAACTAGGGATTGTGGAATTCGAACCTCACTAAAACTACGGTGGCCACCCTCAGCACCTGTAAGGGGCTCCGGGTCGTCTGAAGAGACCTGCTCCAGAGCCCCCACGGTGCAACGCCTGTTACAGCACATCCCTAGGGAGACCTGGATGTCCCTTGATCATCGCTTTCCTCGGCAGCGCGTGACCACTGTGATACCGTCTTCCCTGAGGAAGATGGATGTGCACCTAGAGTCCCCAATGTAAGCACCTGTGGCCCCAAAGGGGAGGAAACCATCTATGACTTCTCCCACCTTAGGTGAATCGAAAGTGTCATACTCTTACTGACTGAACACCACCTAGTTCCTACTCCTGCTTTGAGCCGGAGCCTTGGTAACCCGCTAAGTTGTCCGCAGTTCAGGGGTAAGGTTAGTCTGACCCTACATCTTGATGTGCCAACATACATATATGGTCCATTCTTTACGAAAACTATTGTTATTGGCGCAATGAAGTATTCCGGGATAGTCATCTTAACAAAAATTATGTCTAAACCAACTTTGTTAAACAAGATAGATACTTTATTAACTAAAAATCGCGGGTTACTCTCGTGAATATACTGAGAAAAGTTCTACTAGTTTCAAGCCCCAGAGGGGCGACGTGAGCGGCGTGCGCGGTAGGCTACGCGACAGTGCAGCGATTTTTAGTTTAATTTAGTATGTCTCACGACAGTTATTAAAATAACAAGATATATACTTACCGAAAACAACAATAAGAATTAAATATAAAAACCATGAAACTGTTTGACGCATATTTCAACTGTTTTTACGAGAACCTAAAACATTGTTCCAAAAAAATGGTCATCAAATAAAAAAAACAAAACAAAAGACGGTTTTTTTTAAAACGCAGTTGTCATAGTCAACACATCGTTGACTATTGTCGATAATGAATTAAACTGTCAGCGTATAATGTAAAACGACTAAAGAAATGTCATCAAAGTAATTTTCACGGTGGAAAACAAAATTATTTTAATGTTAGATTGAATTGAAATTATAATTGCTACTTTAAATCCATGAAAACAGCAAATAATTGCTAGTAATTTCAGCTGAAAGTTATAGAGGAACGTGCTTCGGACACGACTGGAGTGATACCACGGCCTCAAAGGAAACCGACGTGAAACAACGCTTGCGTTGCCTGCTTTTACGAGTGACGTTTGGACAAAATCGAAGGTATGCATAAGGTGTTACTACAATAATCGATCGATGCCATCTATTCTAACATATGAAAACTATCAATCGACGTAGACAAATCCATGCTACCATCGATCGATGGCATCTTCTTTTTTATGGGACAAGCCCGCCACAACCTCCCAAAACCGCTGCAACTCCTGTAAGCCAGGATCTACAGTAGATACAACCATGAAAACACCGGAACACTGAAGTCCGGCCCGTCCCAGGGACATGAGTAAAGATCGATCGATGGCGTCTATCGACTATCGATCGATTCATCCCACCCAAACCAGTTAAAAATTCCTTATACACGGGACCGTCTTTACAATTTTTTTTTTAAGGGGGGAAAATCATCGAATGTCTGCTCCCGCCTGGGTGAGGCGGGAGGGAGTGTCAGACTCTTACTGACTAAAAACCACCCTGTTCCTTCTCCTGCACGTCGAGCCGGAGCCCCGGTTACCCGTTAGGTTCTCCGCGACTCCGAATCGGCATCGGCCCTATTGGGCCCCATCGGTGGTGGTCTGATGGCTCTTTGAGGCGCGCGCGGAACGCGACGCGCCGTACGCTCGGGTACCGTCTTTACCAAAGTGCATTCAGGGCCCGTGTCCAGAGCCCCATCTTCATGGGCAAAGAAACGTAATGTTTCTTTTTTTTAACGTTGCGAGGGACCTAAATTATTGAGTGCCCAGCATAGTCATAGGCAGCCCTGCTTTTACATGGGCTTTTTAGACTTCTTTAGTTTTTTTCTTTATTCTCCTTTATTGTTTTAAAGGGGTTTTGTCCATATGGATATGATTTCTCTTATTTCATCATCATTATGCGATGCCACGTACGGTCCACTGACTCCCACAGTCCTCACTCGTGGACTACACATCGCGACGTTGGAAGCGACCGCCATACAGCGGGTCCAAAGTCAAGTCGAAATGTAACTATTATAATGTCAAAATTGAATATTCAGTTAGTTTTGAAAAAACGTTGCCCCCCATTAGGATTTTCTCCTGTGTCGTGTCACGTGGGTGCGTTTACAAACATACAAGTTCACTTACACATGACACACAGACCCGGAACAACAATTTGTGGATCATACAAAGTGTTGTTCCGTGCGGGAATCGAACCCGCGACACGTTGCACGGCAGCCGGTTGCCCAGCCACCGCACCAACCGTGCAGTCATAGTTAGTTTGGGACTGGTCAGCTCCAGATTGCATTATTTATTGTCTTTAAGGTTATTTTCTTTTTCGATCTCTTTGACTGGATTTTGATGTTACATTGTTCTCGCACAATCGAACCAATAAAACTGTAACTGGAGAATTGTATTGTGAACCTGATTGGAAAAGAGTAACCTATGGAGTTTCTTGCTCGTTCTTCTCCATAGGAATCTACTCCTTGGAATGAGCAAATAGCTTCACTTTTAAATTTCTATTGCTGACGTTCAAAAGAGTAAGCCCACAGGCTTACTCTCGAATCCAATTCCAATCGATCGACATTGACGTTGTGAAATTTCGTACTCTTGAGTTGCAACACTAGCGCCCATTGCATTCATATTGCGTGAATATTTAATGAACTAAATGGTATTTAGTTTGTCTTTATACTCCATAGGTACTCTGAGTGCTATTTTAATAGCTACGATTGTGGTTGTATAATTTTGATATTGAATAATTACTGACATTTTTTTGGATTGAAATTGCATTGACATTGAGATTAGTTTTAATAGGCACCCTGGTCTTCGAGCCGGAGCTCCGATAACCTCGGAGAACCTAACGGGTAACCGGGGCTCCGGCTCGACGTGCAGGAGAAGGAACGGGGTGGTTTATAGTCAGTAATTGTCTGACACTCCCTCCCGCCTCACCCTGGCGGGAGCAGCTATTCGCTGATTTTCCCCCTTTACAAAAAAAAAAAAAACTGGCCCGTTAAGTTAAGTCCATACCAAGAAATTCCCTACGATCTTTATCAGGTCATCTGTTTTACCTGAATGTTCTATATTAAGTAGTAATATTATAACATCACGCCTTTTATCCGCGAAGACCCCTTCGCGGATAAAAGGTGTACATTACGGCACTTAATGTCACTGTACAATGTAACACCCACTTTTCACAATTTATGTTATGAGTCCCATAAAATAGTGAGTGAGTCTATTGCCATATACCGGTCGCCATTCCAGACTCCGTGCTACTAGGTACTGAGATTTTTTTTTAAACCCAGTAATACTTTGACCGAAATTCCTTGCTTAACAGTCGTACTTGCAACCACTCGGCCAATGAGGCAATAAATTATACTTTGATATAATTGGGTACTTTCCTTAATCAAAAATAAATTATTTCGACTGTTCAATACAATAAAATATTGAAAAACAATCACACTTTCATTACTTGATTTTATGACCAAATTAATTTTAGTATTTTTCCAGAAAATATATAAGAAATAACTATGCTGTTTGACGCTATAAAACGTGACGTCACAATACACAATCTCGTACAAAATTCATAGAAAACTGTCGTTTTTGACAGTTCGAAAAAAGTATTGAATTTGACTAGTTGGCAAGTACACAATTTAAATTAAACACTCTTTGATTTAGTTTTATTGTAGTTGTAATTTGAAGTTGTTAATATTTATGTAATATGTTCGATATCTATATATATAATAGAAAGTCGTGTTAGTTACACTATTTATAACTATAGAACGGCTAAATCGATTTGGATGAAAATAGGTGGGGAGGTAGCTTAGAACCGGGAGACGGACATAGGATACTTTTAATCATTTTTTTTTTTACTTTTTATCGAGTATCTCGAACGGGAACTGGAAAAAACGCGATTGCGCGTACGAAGTCGCGGGCAGAAGCTAGTCTTGAATAAAAAACACTTTTTACAATGGGAAAGTTTATTACAAAAGCGAATACAAAAGTTTTCACAATAGTCTTATATTAGGATACATAGATAGTAATTAAATTATATGACAATTTCATAGACTTCACAAAAACAGTACCAACTCTATTGAATCAAACTTGAACTGACAATCAAACAACAATGACTAGGTGGCGTTACTATTGCTACAAAGTCAAAGTCAAAGTCAAAGCATTTATTTCAATTAAACCATAGTTTGGTACTTTTGAAACGTCAACAAATACAAAATAAATAATAGTCTGTCAGTCAGTCCGTCAGTGAAATTAGGTGAAGCTAGGTGCTCATTCCAAAACGTAGATTCGAATGGAGAAGAACGAGCAAGAAACTCCATTCGTTACTCTTTTTAAAAGTATGTTCTACAATGTCTCTGATACATATTTCAACTACAGTAACTACAGTAAATAAAATCGTTCCAAACG